ATAATTATTAAATATTTACAATTTACTGTAATAAGTGATATAATGGATTTGCGTTATGTTTGAAAGGTAGAAAAGTTTCTTACCCTTACACTATTTTGCAAGTAGTAAAAATAATGACGCGTCCCGTAATGATTGATATAGTAGATGTTAATGCTAGTATTAGATTAAATTATGCTTTTAGAGAGTATAAATGTGTAGTACATTTATATTTTAGAGTACATTTTAAGGAGAATCAGGAATTAAGATTAGAAGTAGTCTATAATTATGCAGTTCCTTTTGATTTCTCCACCAATAGTCAAATTCATTAGTCTCTTAGTTTTTATCTATACCATGAAATAGAAAGGTCCTCTCGGATAATAAATAATGCATTTACTTATCATGATCATGATTTGCTAGGAAGGCCTAATAGCTACACATTTGAGAAATTTCCTAGTATAGAAATGGTGGCGGACTCTGATGACGCCTATTTGGAGAGGATGATGAATTAACTGCTAAGGACTTGATGGAAATTGAGAGTTGATATGATATAGATGAATAGTTTCAGATCCTCAGTATGAGGAATCTGTATGAACTGCTATAAATTTTAAACTATTTTTTGAAATGATATGTAAATGTAATATATTATGTTGTAACTAAAATCTTTCAGCATGATCTTTGGTGATTGAGTTTATGTATACTTGATTATTCTTTGTATGATATGAAATATAACTGTCATAATATACGATTTCGGCTAAGTCCAGAGGTGTTCGACCTTTGGCAAATTGATTGATGAATTGATTATATATGAATGACATATTAATATGATTATGCATCTTAGTTTGGAGGTCGAGTATGATTAAAAATGGTGAAATTGTATTATGATGAGAATGTGATGAAAAAAGGAATATTATGGATAAAAAATGATGAAGGAATTAATATGAATAGTTATAGAGATATACTGGAGGTATGGAATATGAGGCAGATAGTGGTAATCTGGGAGAAATGTAGGGTGGTGAAAGATATTCGCTTAAGTGTACACAATTTATTTGAGAGCGAATGCATAACATGGCCTCACACTTATTTCCTGACTAACACCTCTACATATACCTTTGCTAAGCGGCGCTATATATTGTATACGTTATATCCATATGTAAAGGTTAATCGGCAACTATTCACCTATTTATGTAAGACCTCATGAAATGTTAAAGGCAACTAATAATTGTGATCACAATGCACAAGGATGTGCTTATTTGAGAGAGAAACTTATTAATTAGGTGACTTAAGTATGTGTATTTTGATTTGTGTGAATACCAATTTTTTTTCCTTCCAGGGATTGCCTCCAAAATTTTTGAAAATAGATATATATAAAAATAAGCTTGTTTTACATAAAAAATAGAAAATTTTGAAAAAAGAGATTTGTCCCCAGAAATGAAAATTTTGCAGTGTGCAGATTAAAGCCCAGCACCCACAGTGAACTTTAAAGCTTAAGAAGGAAAAACATGAAAATTTGGGTCCTCATATGAAACCCTAAACGAACCAATATAAAAGAGAAGGAGATTGGGAAGTAGCAAAATTTTTAAGAAAATTGAGAGATCTAAGAAAAACAACTAGTGTTCGGAGAAGGAAGTAGAAATTTTTAGAAGGAACAACCCAAATCTTCATAAATTTTTTTTTTTTTAGAAAAAGAGAGCGGCAAAATTTGTAGATAAGGTAACAAATTCCTTTGAGAGATCTTGTAAAGAGAAAAAATATAGAGAAGAAACAAAAAATCAGCGCTGTTTGGCCACCACAAGAGTCATTGTGGTCACTCCTTAGCAATATCCCGTCAGATTCATTCTCATTTTAGGTATTCCTTTGCTCCCACCCTCACTGTTGAACGTTTCTTAAATGATAAAAGAAAATGATACATGGACAAAGGCAACAAAGTCACGAATGATGGGAAACGAAAATGTCCTGGCACTTATTACTTTTTTTTATTTTTTTATTTTTATGTTATTTAAATATTAATATTTTTATTCACCGTGTGATATGAATGGATTGGACAAGTCCCTGCACTACTCTGCAGTACATAATGCCTAAGGGTCTAAAGCTAAAAGTTAAAAGCTAATAGCCTTAATTACAAATCAACTTTTTTTACTCCTTTTATTTGAATATGAAATTTCATGTTTTATGGTTTCGTAAGTCATAATCTTGGTTATTTTAATTTCATTTATTAATTAATTTAAAAAATAATAATGGTAACATAATAATTAAATTAGATTTAGACACCATTCAAGACTTGATTTATACAATCACATTAGATTATCACTATACCTTGCATGTTATTTATTTATATTGTTCTTTAATATGATCATCTTTTATTGTATTGGATAAGTTTTAGATGTTGATGTAATTTAATTTCATGTTCTATATTCTCTTATTTTATGGCTTACAAATTATATTTTTAATTTATTAAATAAATGCATAATATATAAGTGTATTAATTTATAACATTAACGTGTAGCTTCTCTATCGTTGTGTGTTGTAAATTGATAAAGTCTACGTGTACCTACGTTACCGAGGCTTTAGACAATCTTAATTTATCATATGTTATCTTTAATTAATTAGAAAGATTGTCTTAATAATCAATCAAAATGCGTTTCCCTATAATCACCATTTTTACTAATCAATAAATTTAAATCTAAATTATTTTACTAACGAAATAATTTATAATGCTAATGTGTAGCGATTCTACCTTTATGCGTTATAAATTGTTAAAAACCTATGTATCCTCTGATTTTTTTTAAAACATTTTTTTTTCGCTGTACCGTTGCGACCGCCTGGTTGCGACAATTTGTTGATATAATTATTGTTTGGTTGGTATTGTGATATTGAAAACTGCATATTTTTTATTGATGAAGAAGAAACTCATCCTTACTAATATTTTCAAGAAACGAGGATGACCAATCCTTAGACACTCGTTTGGTTGTCTAAATTGATAATTAGTAGTAGACTTAATTATATGTTTAAGAAATGGCAGCGACTCTGTTATTGTAAATTTGTTATAAATAGTAATGATAACTCTGGTGTTGTATTTTCTTTGGAAATGATTGTAGGATATAATATCCCTTTTAAGTATCCTATTAGTGGTAGGATCTACCACACCCTTTGTTTGTACATGTACAAAGGTTTGGTCAGGATACCATATGCAGTGAATTATGTTTATACTTTCTTGGATCATGATTATTATGAAAGACCAACCTGGTTTAACTCAGAACAGGTGACTGACACTTAGGTTGTGGCTGACACTAGAGACCTTGAGGGGGATGAGAAGCTAACTCTGGAGGAGCTAGCTAAGAAAGAGGGCTGACACAAGTGATAAAGATTAGGTCATAGTCTCAATATTTTGGATAGGAGTGATCTGCTTATTAGAACTTAGTATATTTTGATTTTGTAAATTTCTAAATTAAGTCTTAATGTATTTTTTTATCAGTGTTTGTAAATATTAACCTCTGTATTTAAATGATAATATATGCTCTTATTTTACTATTGTACTGATGTAAATTTATTTAGCAAGTTATGATTATTTCTTTTATCGCTTTATATGCTTTTATATTTTTATGAATTAAATAATGAAAGAAAAGTTTTAAATTTTGTCAAGTTCATATATTATGAATAAAAAGAAATTCAATTTTTTTTTATATATAACTTATTTTACAAATTTCATAAAGAAATTAAGGACTTTACATTTTTTACTTTTAGGAATGGTGTCGAGGCTTCTAATTTTAAGCTGGAGGCCCACATGGTCAAAATTAGAGATGAGAACATGAATAAGACAGTTAGAATGTCAAGTTCCAGCCTCATTAACAATTACTCTATCAATTCTCTTTTTTAAGCTATCTCTGCTCCAGGTAAAAAGGGTTGTCCTTATAGCATAGGTCTACTAATTCACACTTCTTAAGACATTCAGTGAATTTTTTTTGAGTATAAAGGGTTAGTAGGTCTGCGCCCAACTTTTTTAGAGTCAAATAAAGTAAAGTTAAAGTCTCCAACTAATAACCAAAGATTGTGAACAAAAGAGTTAAGCTTAATCATATCATGCTAACACTCAGTTTGTCTAATATGGGGATTGACATAAATGAAAGAGATGATTCATTCATTCTTTCCAAAATTATTGACTATTAAGTAGATAACATTCTTAGAATTAGAAAGAATTGAAATCTTAATTTTATTAGTATTTTAGAGACAACAAATCTTCCAAAAGTACTTAATAATATCTACTTTAATAGAGATATAAATTAATTCTTTTTATAATCATGTCAGCTTTATTTAAACTAATTTTTAGTTCAAAATGGTTACAAAGTCTAAATTATATATAGTAATTAGGTGTATTATCTTAGAAAAAGATTTATTCCCAACTCTCTTATAATTCTAGAAAAAATAGTTTATTAATCCTAAAAATAATTATAGAAATGCATCCTTGGAATGCTGTGTTGACTAGATTAGGTTCATCTGATAAGATTTATAAGAAACAAATAATTGAGGTTGGTCTATTATTATAATAAATAATTATTTTTATTTAATATGTTTATTTGAAAATCATATTTTTATTATTATCATTGCTTTTATAATTATTTATTATTTTTAATCTTAAATCATCTTCAAGTAAATATAATTATATTTTATTAGTATAAAAATATTTATTAAATATTAAATTAATAAAAAAATATTTAAAATTTATAAATAAATTAACGAGCAAAACTATCGCTGAAATGATAATAATTTTACCCCAATTAATCAACTAATGGGGTATTAATTCAATCTCAATTTAATCACAGCTGAATAACAAATAACCATATCAATAACTAATCCAATCTTACAATTACAAATATTGATCGTTAATCATCAGTGAATGTAAGCAAGAACATCAACGGTGGGAGTAACAAACCCTACTGATTGATAAGAGGTCACATTCAAACTATTGCAAATTGAGAAAATGCACGCACCAAATATTTGGGGGTTTTGGCCGTAAATTAAAGAAAAAAATAGTGCAAATTGGAAACACGTTTTCTGCGTTTGCATCTGTGAACACAGAGAAAGCGCAGTGAAGAAGTAAAAAGCGAGAGCGATGTTTTGATTTGATTGGAGAGAAGAAGAAAGAAGGAAGTGATTTTGGAAACGCGCTTTTACGTTGTTTTTATGTTGCTTTCGTTGGCCGCATGCAACTGTGAAACCACCTCGAGATCCATAGCAAACATCGTTCACTTACTCACCCAAAATGAATTAAAAAAATAAAAAAGAGAGCGAAAAATGATTTTGGAAATTCAAGCGATTTGAAGGGTTTAAACTTCCAATGTCGGAGAGCGATCAGCGTCGTCTTCTTGGGTCGTCGGAGGATGACGTGGAAGCTCGAGGGTCGGAACACGTGGCAATCAACGGCAACAACAACAACAGCACCCACAACAACAATAGAGGGTTCAAGGATTTGTTAAGGTTGTCGGGTCAGCGACACAGTTTCAAGCGCGTTGACAAAGATGAAGATAGAAGGAATGCGAATCGCGATCGCGATTCGCATTCGCACGTGGATCTCGATTCTTCCGTTGATGTTCTTGGCGATGGTGCGCCTCCTGAGTGGGCCTTGCTCCTCATTGGTTGCCTCATCGGCCTCACCACTGGTCTCTTCGTTGCTCTCTTCAATAAAGGGGTACCCTAATTTTATTTTATTTTGTGGTTGTTCTTTCGATAATTACCTTTTTTATGAGATGCTTGTTATAATATAATGATTTTTGGACTTGTTTGATCTGTATCTTATGCAAGTTGTGTGTCATGGATGCTGCAAGGAGTTTGTTGTGTATGAAATGTGTGAGTGTTGATCTCAATGGACAGAGGATAAGAAACAAACCATTGTATAGGGATAGGAGATATGGGTAGTGTTAGCAATAATATACTCTTAAGTCTCAACTATCTGGATTTTGTTTAAATTGTGTGTAATGTTATGAATTTAATTGGGTGGCATGTGTTCATGTTGTCTGTTATGTTGTTTTTAGCTGGACTTGGGTAGAACTCTTGAAGAACATAAGAAAAATCTCTAATGTTAATACTTAGAAGTAAGTATTTTGATACTGTCTCAAATATTCGAATGGGGGGCTGGTTTTGGAATTAGATAACCCAACATTTATGTTGTAGTCATCCGGTCTGGTCTGGAGTGTTGTATAAGATCAAAGTGTAAGGCTTTGTTTGGGAGTTTTATTTAAAAAGGAGGGGAAGGCGTAGGAGAATATTGGAAGCCCTCCAAAACCTCTCTCACTGTAATTTTAAGTTGTCTCAATTTGGGGGAGGGGGTGTTTATAGAAAAATTAACATCCAAACAAGGAAGAGGTTTGGTCCCTCTTCCCCCTCCCTTTCCTTGCCCCTCAAATCCTTTCCTTCCCTTCCCTCTCCCTCCAAAGAGGTTTTGGAGGGCTTCCAAAATTCTCCTACTCCTTCCCATCCAAACAAGTTTTCTTTTTTCTACTAATCATGTGTTGCAGCTATGTCATTGGTAAGTCTTTTTGTAGCTGTTTTCTTTCTTATTATCACCATTGTTCTACTTGTGACATTTGGCTCTCATTTTTTTTAATGTTGTGTTGAATGAGTGGAAATACTAGACAAGACAGGATTATGAATGGATGCATTAGCAAGAGTTGGGATCACACCTATTGTAGAAAATCATGTAGAGTCTCGCCTTAGGTGGTTTGTACGTGCGTGAAGAAGACCTGTAGAAGCCCCAAGAAGCAGAGTAGATCAGATGGAGGGTAGCCCAGTAGTTAGAGGCAGAGACTGAAAAACTATAGGAGAAACAATTAAGGAGGATATAGAAGTCAATAATTTGTCTCTGGACATGATTTTTGATAAAACTTTATGATGTTGTTTGATCTATGTACCCCCAGTAAGTGGGAAAAGATGTGCTTGTTATTGTTATTGTTGTAGTTTTTTAAATGTTGCCATGTGAGAGTTTGGGCATTTATAAATTATGCTTCATGGTTGCCAAGCAATCTTTGATACCTGTCTTTTGTCTGTTTCTTTGTCATACATTGACCACTAAAAATCATTTGGTTTGTGCTATCTGGTTATGCATATTCTATTTTTAGACTAGAATTGTTACCGAAACCTATTAAGGAAGATGATTTATCTGACATATACTGAAATGTGCTCAACTAGGTGCATATTATACATGAATGGGTATGGGCTGGTACCCCAAACGAGGGTGCTGCATGGCTTCGTCTTCAGAGATTGGGTGATACATGGCATCGAATCCTTTTGATACCTGTCACTGGGGGAGTTATTGTAGGCATGATGTGTGGTTTACTGGAAATATTGGACCAAATAAAGCAGTCCACTTCCACTCAAACACAAGGTTTTGATTTGCTTGCAGGAATCTTCCCAACAATAAAGGCTATCCAGGCTGCAGTCACTTTAGGTACTGGCTGTTCATTGGGTCCTGAAGGTCCTAGTGTTGATATTGGGAAGTCATGTGCCAATGGATTCTCACTAATGATGGAACACAATAGGGAGAGAAAAATAGCACTTGTTGCAGCTGGTGCTGCAGCCGGCATTTCTTCAGGTAGGTAGCCAGGCAATATTGTCAAAGTCACTTTTTAAAACTCATTTTGATGTTTTTTTAATTGTATTTTGGTTTTTTGAACCTCCTTGAAAGTTTGTAATGATGATTTAACCAATGAAAAATTACTAAAAAATAAAAAAATTCTTTATTGGCTCACCATGTGCCTGCCAAAATCTCACATCGACTACAAATACGTTTTTTCATTTTCAGATCGGTCTCAATGTTCCCCTGTTTTTGAAAGAGGTCTGCTTTTTTTCCCTAATTTTAATTCCAGAGAGGTGTCCCCTAATTCTCCTGAAAGTGTTCTGATATTTAATTCCTTTTTCCCCCCTGAATTTCTTCCCGCATTCTCATGTCTCATCATTCCCTCAACCACAACCACCAGCTCAGCAGATCACCTTAGCCTCAATCAGTTATGCTCTCAATTACCTATTGCAAAAGGTGCAGGATCAGACAAGCAAATAAATTGCTCTTTTCAGCTGATCTATTTTATCTTTCTTTCATTCTTGTGACCTTTCTTTGGCCCTAAGAGGATACTTGATCCTCCTGTTCCCATTCCTGTCTTGAATTAATCTTTTATAAAAAAAAAATGATAGAAACTTGGTAACAAAGTTGAGTGAAAGAATCTTTATTGCAAGAAGTCCCTCCATGAAAAGACTAATTAACTGTATCTATCTTTCCCTATTTACTGTTAACTACCTCATCCTCATATTCTGTTATAACAGAATATTACAATTGTTATTGTTATTGTTAATACTTCCTTGTATAGAGAGCTTTGATACCAGTTGTTACACTGATATCATTCAAGAATGTAATAATAGACTGACTTTTATTGAATGGAAGCTAGAAATCAGGTTAGGACTCAATTTGAGTTTCTCTGATGAACAATACACTGAAAGAATACAATTCCAGAGCATTTTGAGAGCCTCTGGTCTCTCTCCTACAGACTAGTAACTTCTGTTTTTCACCTTATTCAGTTACCCACTCTCTATACAAATAGTAAACCTCCTAACTAACTATGACAATGACTGCTAGCAAATCTAACAACCCTTAACTGATATTAGATTGGGCTTCACTATCTTCTGGCCCATTCCCCTTCTAATGTGGACCTGCTTTATTATAGGTCTGTTATTAATAGAACTGCTATCACATGCACTCTTAGTGAGAGGTCTATTAGAAGATGCTATTGTTGCAGCTAAAATTAATGATGTTACACACATAATACAAGATGGGTGCTTAAAATGGAAAAATGAATTATGGGTTATTTGTAACTACAAAGTACCTAACAAGCTCAAAGGAAAGTTCAATCAAACTACTATATAACTTGCTATCATAGAATTGTTAAACTTTAAAGAGATAACAAGAAAAAAAATTAGAGTAGTATAAATGAGAATATTATTTAGGATAGATGTGTGGTTACACTCGACTGGACAAGATATGTAATGATTGTATATGAGGAGATATTTAACTAAATTGTTAAAGTGGTTTGGATGTGTGAAGAGGGCCACCAGAAGCACCACGGAGTAGAGTAGGTTGCATGGCTTTTAAGCCTTGCGAAAAGGGGAAGTGGCATGCTAATAAGAACTTGGAGGAAATTATTAAAAGGAATCTTATAATAAACAATTTCTTTTGTGAATTTAGATTTTGACTGAATCTAATGACGTTTGTTAACAATATGTTTTTGAAACTGTTGTTGTTTTCTGTTATTTCAGTTTATTAGATTAGTATCATAGTTAATAAGTGATTTCGATATCTTAGAAATAATTTAGTTTGTTATTAAATCTTTCGATTACGTAATTAGTTTATGTTTCTTTGACTTATTATAAATGTATTGTTGCTATTAAATAAAAGCTGAGTTCTTTCACCATTCATTCTTCTTACAATTCTGTGCATTTCCTTTCTTTATTTTATTTTACTTTTTTACCATAAAACCAACAAAGTGGTATCAAAAGCTATCTTTTTACGGACATGTGAAAATGGATTCTGAATTAAATTTCTTACAAGTTGCTCTTCTTGTCTTTGATGGAGAAATTTATGATTTTTGGACTATCAAAATGGAGACTTACCTTGAGGCTGCACGATCCTACCATAGCCCAAATAAAAAGTTATTAGGAGAGAAAAACACGAAAGCTAAAAGCAAAATCATGTCTTTTTGTTAGTGTTTCAATACTTATCTTCACCGAGATCATGACTTTAAAAATAACAAAGGCAATTTGGGATTATCTTAAGAAAGAATATGTTGAGAATGAAAGAATTCGAGGCATACAAGTGTTAAATTTGATGAGAGAATTTGAATTCCAAAGAATGAAAGAGTTTGTGACAATCAAAGTATACTCAAACAGACTGGTTGACATATTCAATATGGTAAGATTATTAGATACTAATTTTCCTGATTCTAAAATTGTAAAAAAAATTCTTGTAATAGTGCCTGAAAGATTTGATGCTAGAATCACCATCTTAGAGAATACCAAATATTTGTCCAAAACTCTTAAATGCCTTACAAGCACAAAAGCAAAGGCATGCAATGACACAAGGTACCATTGAGGGAGCCTTACATATCACACACAATGAAAGTGCAAGATACAAAAAGAAGAAATCTTATCCTTCATGTCATCATTGTGAAAAAAATGGTCATCCTTCTTTCAAATGTTGGAGAATGTTAGATACACAATGCAGTAAATACAACCAAATAGGACATGAAGGTGTTATAGTTAAAAAATAAAAACTAACACCAAGATGAAGCGGCTAAGATTGCTGATCAGGAGGGAAAAGATCATTTATTTGTTGTTACTTGTCTCTCAGACTTTAAAGCAAATGAAGGTTGGCTAATTGATAGTGGTTGCACTAACCACATGACTAATAATAAGAAACTCTTTAGAGATTTGATACCGACTAACATCATTAAAGTCAACATAGGTAATGATAATTTCATCCCAGTCAAAAGAAAGGGAACAATTGCAATAGCAAACTATACAAGCACGATGTTAATTCATGACTTTCTTTGGGTTCCTAAAATTGATCAAAATTTGTTAAGTGTTGGTTAATTAATTGAAAAAAATTATTTTTGAAGATAAACATTATTTGATTAAAGATGAAGTTGGACAAGATATTTTCAAAGTAAAAATAAAATGAAAATTTTTTACTTTGAATCTATCAAAGGAGGAGCAAATAACTTTTTCATGCAAAGAAAATACCACAACATTTCATCCTAATATCTTGAGTGCTGAAATTAAATTTTCTAGTTTCATCCATGGTGCAAATGAAAGACATCTCAAGGTTGCAAAGAGAGTGGTTAAATATTTCAAAGACACTTGTAATTCAAGCATCAACTTCAAGTAAAGTGAAAAATTCAAGTTGATTTATTTTTCTAACAGTAATCGAAATGACTCAGTTAATTACTTCTCTTTTCTATGGAAAAAAAAGATTTTATTTAATTCTAATTTGAAGTAGAAAAAGAACACAAAATTCTTGTTGACAACAAATTCACTTTTTGTTAGTAAATTTAAATTGTAGAAAAATAGAATTTGTAGTTTAAAAATATACTTTTGAAACTGCTGTTAATTGTTTTCTGTTATTTCAGTTTATTAGATTAGTATCATAATCAATAAGTGATTTCGATATTTTAGAAATAATTTAGTTTGTTATCAAATCTTTCAATTACGTAATTAGTTTATGTTTCTTTAACTTATTATAAATGTATTGTTGCTATTGAATAAAAGTTGAGTTCTTTTTCCATTCATTCTTCTCACAGTTCTGTGCATTTCCTTTTCTTTATTTTATTTTACTTTACTTTTTTACCATAAAACCAACAGCGTTGTATAATTTATGTCGTCAATCTTACCTAGTTGGATAAGGACATCTATTGCTGTTGTTGCAGCTGGTGTGGTCCTAATAAGATGTTATCTTGCAAGAAATGAATTCTTTTTGCTAAAACATTTGTAGTCCTATGAAATTTAATCTTGCTGCCAGGTCACTAGAAATAAGTTGAACTGACCATAAAATTTATAGTGAGCGGTAAGTTTACAAGCATACACTTTAGAAGCTTCTTTATTGTTATTTTTTTATAGAGAGCTTTGGAGTAAATAGAAAGTTGGTATATAGTGTGTTCTAATGTTAGTTCTTTGTGGAGATTGATTCTGTGGACAGTTTTCTTCTATCTTGTGGCACTTTGCTTTGCTAGAGTTAAATCAATCTTGTGTTTCCTTGCTGATCTTGGTTCAGTTAAGAGTATGAATTTCTTTTGCGGTATTTGGATTATGTTTTGGATTTTGAAATGATGGTTGTTTTAACTTTCAATTTCCCTTTCTTCAGGCTTCAATGCACCTGTTGCTGGTTGTTTCTTTGCTATTGAAACTGTGCTGAGGCCTCTTCGTGCAGAGAACTCTCCCCCATTTACAACCGCCATGATTATATTGGCTTCTGTTATCTCATCAACTGTATCAAATGTTTTACAGGGCATCCAATCAGCTTTTACAATGCCTGAGTATGATTTGAAATCTGCTGCTGGTATTTTTCTTTAACCTTGCTGTGTTTATTATATATGGTTTTGGTTTGTCATCATATTTGTACTAGTAAATTACCATCTTTTTTGTCTGCCAAATTAAAAAGGAATACTCTACTTTTTCTACTGAATTTATTTTTTATCATATTGATGAGGTAATGACACATTATTCTAGGAGGATTTTGTTGTAAGTACTGCATTTATGAAAATTACTTGACTTCCTAAGAATTCTGCATCTTTGAGTATCCAATATGATTTTATTCTCAAAAAAGTGATTTCTGAAATTTGGTGACTCAATAACTTTATAGATGTTGATAAAAAAAGGATTAAATTATATATTTAGTTTCTATAGTTGACATTTGTTTACGAAATTAGTCCTTATATTTAAAAAAGTTACATTTTAGTTCCTGTACAAGTACTTTGTATGCTTTTAATCCTTGTCATTATAACATTGTTAACAGCCTGGACCAAAATGTAAATGACAAGGACTAAAAATAAGCATTTTTTAAGTCTAGAGACTACTTCATAAACGAGTGTTAACTACAAGGATTAAATGTATATTTTAACCAAAAAAAAAAACCAAGATTTTTGATGGGTTTATCTAGAAAAAATTAAAATGAGGCACTAAATAAAAAAATCGTGAATTTTTAAAAAACTGAAAACTTGTATATTTAAGTTAAAGATCATTATTTATAGTTCAAGATCATATACATATTTATTGATATAGAACTTACTAATTTGGTGAATACATATATCATTGAAAAAAAATCATAATTATGTTTAAGACTTAAAAGTGTTTGGTTTCTATAACAATTTAAACTTAGTTCTTATAAATTTTGTTACGACATAATTCCTACTTTTTTACAAAATATTATTTTTAGTCCTTTTAGCTAATGCAATTCAATAAAAAATTGACACTTGATAGTATGTTAATGGACCACATTAACTAGAAAGACTAAAAATAATAATTTGTAAAAAAATAAGAAATATATCTAATAAAATATTATATAGGGATTAAGTTCAAATTGTGTAACTTTTGTAGGGACTAAAAAGTTAATTAAGCCTTATGGTTAATAAAATATTGAAAAAACTCTTAACAAAACTTTTTTTATGGTTGAAAAATAGATTAGATATGTCTAGATATTTTTTTGTGGAGATAAAAAATACTATAAAGATCAACTACTGTTTACTTATATTATGATAGAAAAATTACAAATTCACTCATACAATAAAGTTGATCATTTAAAGTTTTGAGTAATAGTATAATTTCACATCTCAAATATTGTAAATATTTTATTTCTTAAAAAAATGTATTTTTCAAAGATTTTATAGCAATTGATATGTCATATAAAAGGTATATTAGATATAAATTAAGAATTTTACATATTAAAAAATTATAATAAAAATGTTAACATTGATATGTTATTCATTCCTTTAACACTAGGATAAAAGGTAAAACTATAAAGTTCAGTAAAATTCTTTATTAGTCAAGAATTTAGTGTTATTTAAATAAAATTAAGCTATGATACAGGTCTCTTTTCAACTTAGTTTGATGGCATGTATTATTTTAAAATTATAATTGGTTAAATATACATTTGGTTTTTGTATTTCTATGTTTATAAATTAGTCCTTATACTTAGGAAAAAACTTACGTTTTAATCTCTATACGAGTATTTTGTTATATTTTAGTCCCTTCCATCATTAACATTGTTATAAGGGTAGAGACAAAAATGAAATAGAGCATCCGCATAGGGACTGAAATGTAAATTTTTTAATTATAAAGACTAATTTGTAAATAAGTGTTAACTGTAGAAACTAAACATATAATTTAATAAAACAAAATTATTGTATATTCAGTTAAAAAATATGGCTGATTTATAAATACAGCCATATAATCATCCACACGATAAATCAGCCACACTTGGTAGACCCACAAAACAGGGGCGGCTCCTTTCATTGAAATGGGGTGGCCCTGAATATTTTTTAGATTGCTTAGTTTATATATATATATATATAGCTGTCATTGTACTTACCCTTGGTATGGTAACAGAGAAGAAAATGAGTGGATTTTTGTATTATTTGGTACAAGAAGAGAAAAAGAAGGAAAATGAAGAGAAAGAAACATTTAGTTTCTCTCCTTGTTTGGTTGGATAAAAGTGGGAAGAGAGTGAATGAATTTTTCTTTAAAGGATGAAAATGGCCGTTTCAAACAGTATAAAAAGCTAGAAACAACCCCAAAACAAAAAGGATTATGAAGGGGGAAATGTGTGGGTTAGTGTTGAACTTTATGAATGAACCCAGTTCAAGTCTTAAATTATGGGAAGAATCTTTTGAGGCATTTGAACTTGGTTATAACTTCGTCTAAAATGCCCAAGACAATTGAACTTGTGCACATCTTGCTTAAATTCTCCTCATTTCTCTCAGCTTTAATCAATGTGGGACTTATTTATTTTCTAACACTGTCTCTTAACTCAACTAAGTTAATTTAATTTTATTGTGATTTGCCTTCAATCTTTAGCTTGAGCTTGTACATCAAGTTGGAACTTCAAAGACCACATTTTTATCTTCATTTTTCACATGGGCATGTGCTCCTTCTTAAGCATCAGAGACCTATAAGTCTACTATATTTTATGCCCAAGTCTTTCTCATCAAACTTTTTTTCCTTTTTTTTTTTGTCAATTTCTTATCTTCAATTCATATTTTTGGTTTCTTCTATTGGGCTTTAGGTCATGGGCCACAGGTCTTTCTTGGATCATTAATTAGCCACCAGGTCATAAGGACTCTTATACCATGTTAAATTTATTTAACATGTCTGATCCAAGTTTACACTATAGAGAGTGATTGGTCTTTTTAATATGAGAAATGGGCTTAAGGTTACAATTTTGTCCAAATTGTCTAACATAATTGAACCTGGGCACCTTTCTTGCTTATATTTCTTTTCTTTTCTCATTTTCACTAATTTAAGACTTTTTTGTTTTGCAAAATACTTCCCTCCAAGTCCAACTAGGCAAGGTTAGTCCAGTTATGACTTGTGTTTAATTTAATGTTCAGTCTGAGCTGAAACTTTAAAGCTTAAGAGGCCACAAGTCTATCTTTATGTGTTGCTTGGGCTTATGCTCCATATTCTCGGAGGCCTACAAGTCTCCAACATTTTATGTTGAAGTCTTCTTCATTGAGTCTTTTTCTTCCTTTGAAGTTAAGGGAAGTTAGAAATTGAAAAAGTTTCATATTAGTTGAAAATGGGAAAAGTAAATCGAATATAAGCAAAAGGTAAACAAGTCCAATTGCCTTAGACATTTTGGACAAAGGTATAACTTTAAGCCCAAATCTCATACTAAAAGATCAATCACTCCTTAAATTACAAAATTCATATAGTCTCACAACTCATTGATAATCTAAGGAAAAGATCTGTGACCCAAGACTTGAAGCTTAATGAAAAAAGAAGAAACAATATTTGAATTGAAAAAATAGAAGGAAAAAGGGCTTTGTGAGGGAAATATAGACATAAAATGTTGCAGACTTGTAAGCTTCTGAGAATTAAGAAGGAGGAGCATAAGCCCAAGTAATAAATGAAAGTAGACTTGTGGCCTTGGATATTTAAACTTGAAGTAATTTCAAGTTGAAGATTGAAGGTAAGTCACAACTGGACTAAACTACTGCAATTGAACATAAGGGGGAGTGTTGGAAAACAAAGAAGTCTCATATTGGGTAAAAATGAGAAAAGTAATGCAAATATACGCAAGAGATGCACATGTGAAATTGTCTCGGGCATTTTGAACAAAGTTGTAATGTAAAGCCAAATCCCATATTAAAAAGATCATTAACTCTCCCTATAGTGTAAACTTGGATCAGCATGTTTACAAAATTGAACACCCTAGCTTTCTTTTCTCACTTTTCAATTTGAGTAGGAAAAGAAAGGACTTCCATATGTTTCTTCTATCTGCCCAATTTGTCTTTGCTACCGAACAAGGAAGTTTTTTTTTATCACCCTTATTTCTCTTCTCTAAGGTGGATGAGTGGACACATGAAAAAGGACATGACACAAAATCATAATATACAGAATATTGGAGTAGCACCTATAGTGAGAAAGATGATTGTAAATCGTCTAAGGTGGTTTAGTCATCTGTAAAAAAGATCTTTATAGGAGTCAGTAAAAAGAGTGAATTGCGTAACTCTTAGTTTGGTAAAGAAGGGTCAAGGAAAACTTTAAAGAACTTTAGACGAAGTTATTAAAAGAGACCTTTTGATTAACCAGATTTATGAAAATTTGGTTTATTTCTTTTCTCTCTCTAAATCCTTTCCGCATATTTTCATCCATACCAAAGAATGGGTTGTAGTACCCCTTAAAATCTAGTTATTTTCTTCTAAGTGTCACATCTTTGTGTGTCTCCCTCAATTTTTATCTATTTGTCCCCTTTGAAAAAGAAAAGGTTAGGTTAGCTTCACTTGTCCTTTGGTGAAAATTTCTTACAGTTGGCTACGTTTAACTTGGCTCTGCTGCCCCATTTTCCAAGTTAACCTTTTCAGCAGTATTTTCTTTCTCCCAAGTGCCATTGTCTTATGTAGCCTCCACATTCTATGCGTCTACACTACAACAACTTGCTAGTGTTGTTCACTTTTTTGATGTGTGAGGGTGCATCTAACCATTGTTCAGGATGCTACTTGTGTCATTTGACACACCTTACTGTCCTTCAATTTGGCCCTCCCTTCCACAGTAGTTCCTTGAGTTGTGACCAACACACTTGAAGCTGTTCTATTAAGATGTCCCATATCGTTTTAGGAATATAGTCAAAATCCTCCTTATAAGGCTTGAGCAAATTTTCTTCTTTTGAGCTAGTTTTTGAGAGTAAGTTAGGTCCAATTTTGTAATATAGTATTTGTGCCTATTCAGTTTTGACTGTTGGACTACCTAAAAATGTCCAGTCTTGTTGGACCACTAGCAAATGTCTACTCCTACAAAACTTACTGGATGTTCAATCTTAGGCATGAATGGGTGTTAAGATGTCTCACATTGGTTAAGAATAGAGTCAAAATACTTTTTTTAAGGCTTGAGCAAACCTCTTCTTGTGAACTAGCCTTTGGAAGTAAGTTAGATGTAGTTTTCTAATATATTCATCTTCCTTGAGTGTCCCTTAACCTGCACTCAAGGACACTACAAAACTAGAGGCCCTTGTTTTCATTAGCTATGCTATTGTTTCTCTCATAATTGACAAATTGGATGTAGCTGATGAGAGAGAAAGGTACAAGAGAACATGTGAATGAATTTGTGTGTTTGAAATACACAGTTGAGCAAATATTTATATTATGTGTCTTGTAAATTGGGATAAATTCTACCCTATTTACAATATTACTATGATCACATAATTCTAACTCTTGTAAGTTGAAGTATATAAATCATATGCACCAAACTTATCGTGTATATGACTAATTCAGGGACCTCTCAATCAGTGTTGTTAAATGGCAGCCATGGCAGCGCCATGGCGGAATTTGGTGGCGGTTTTTGACCCCGCCGTTACAGCATTACCGTTTTTTGGCGTTTTTCAATAGCGGCACCATGGCGGCCATTACGCACATGGCGGTAACGGCGGCCACAGCGGAAAATGTAGAAAAATAGCATTTTTGTGGGAAAAATTGAGTTGGGCCATTGACTAGACCTGCTCCAAAAAGAAAATCTGTGAGCCCAAACCCTAAATCACATATTTTCTTCCTTTCTTCATCGCTGTTGTGCCGCTGTGGAGCGGCGATCTGCCACGTGATGCTTGCTGTGAAGTATTTTTTCGCAGAAGTAAAGCCCTAATTGTAGTGTCTTGGTGTGGGTGTGCACTTTTGAATTGTAATGGAGAAAGATAGCAAAATTCCAATCTTGCCCTTGCTTTATGTATTTTAGGGTTTTTTAAGGGCAAAATAGACTTTTTTCACTTAAAATTTTTACCTTTTCTTCTTAAGTGGTAAATTTTCTGAAGGATAAAATATTTAGGGTTCTCTCTGCACTGCTTTTCTTCCTTCTTCTCTAAAGCCAACTTCTTCATCTCCTTCACCATTTTTGCCAGACAAGACATCCTTTCCGGCTGTTTTCTGGCAACTGTGAGTGGAAGGCCCTGTTTTCCGACGTCCATTTTCTATTTTGTTTCTTTGGGCTCTGTCCCTCTTAGTTTTTCACTCTCCTATTTTTATTTTTTTTCAGTTCTGTTTTTCCTTACTCTCCCATTTTTTTTTCGTTTTTCCTTATTATTTTGTTTTCTTGATTCTATTTTTCTGTTTTCACTTCCAAGTTTCCTTCTCTATATTTATTTTAATTCTCTACTTTTCTATTATAACTTCAGCTTTTTATTCCCTCTTTCTTAGTTTTTCCCTCTCCTATTTTTTTTCTCAGTTATGTTTTTCCCTCTCCCATTCTGTTTTACTCTCCCATTTTTTTCTTTTTTCCTTATTATTTTGTTTTCTTGATTCTATTTTTCTGTTTTCACTTCCAAGTTTCCTTCTCCATACTTATTTTAATTCTCTACTTTTCTGTTATAACTTCAGTTTTTTTTTCACTATTGTACAACCATTTTATTCCTTTTTTCTCAAAACCTTCCTTCTTTTATATGTAGTTAGTTTTTTAGTTTTATATCACATTTTTCAATATATATATATATATATGACTGCCATTATTCCGCCATAATTTTGTGGCAGTTTTTTTGCTTTCCGCCATGACCTGCCATCCGCCATTGATAACATTGCTCTCAATGACTTGGTGAAAACATTCGCTAGTTGATCATTGAATTCAATGACTTGGTGAAAACATTCGCTAGTTGATCATTGAATTGACAAATTGATGTCTTTTGATAAGATATTCTCTTTTAACATATTGTTGGATATTTAGATGCTAATTGGTTAGATTCTCCTACTAATAGACAATTCTTCTCCTAGATGTTATGTGCTCACAGAAATTAGGAAGGTAACTGAATATCTTGGAAAAGTAAGAAGTAGAATATAGGTGCAGGATCAAGCACTGAAGCAAAATACTGAGCCTCAACATCCACCACTAGGCAACTTTTTGGCTAAAGCATCTTCCTCTGGTGCTTCGACTCAAGTAGATCATGCAAATGCCACTTGTTTGTGTTTAAAATGTGATAACCAAGCTGCATTGGATATTGCTTCATGTCTCTTTTCCGCGAGAGGATACATTGAGTTAGATTGTACTTTATCAATGAAAAGATCTAATCTGGAGGTGTCACCACCAGTATTGTGTACTCAAATGAGCAACTAGTGATGAATGTTTTCCCCAAAACTCTGAGAGGTCCTCAAATAACTTCATAACATGCTTGACATATATATCACTATGCCTCAGCCTGAAGTGGAGTTTTAGTGTCTATTATGTCTTTGTCAATGCATCATGTAACTATAGTAATTAAAAGAATTCTATTCTATTGTATTTTTTCATACTTATTATATAAATATTGAGTGTATGGCATTGTTTAGACACACAGCTTTCATCAAGTGCGTCTTTCTCTCTACACAAAATGGAATGATTTATTTTATTTTTGCCCCAATGTCTTCTAAAAAGTTCTAGTCAAAGCCTAAATCCCCTGTTAATCATAGAGAGTAAGTCTGAAACTTTTTTTCCTCTGCTCCAATGATCTGTTTTAATAAAGGCATAAGAGTTAGTCATTAGTACATAATTTCTATTGTAAACCAGTATTAATCTACCCATTATTCATTTTGGTTCTCTATATAAGAAAACCAACCATGATTCACATGTCTGATATTTCATCATGACGTTGCTTGCAGAGCTACCTTTATACCTGATATTGGGAATGCTTTGTGGTGTTATAAGTGTAGCCATGACCCGTTTGGTTGCTTGGTTCACCCAATTGTTTAAGATTATTCAGGAGAAATTTGGCATTCCTACTGTGGTCTGCCCTGCTTTAGGTGGTTTAGGAGCTGGGATTATTGCTCTTAAATATCCTGGAATATTGTATTGGGGTTTCACAAATGTGGAAGAAATTCTACGTACTGGAAAAAGTGCTTCAGCTCCTGGAATATGGCTTCTGACTCAATTGGTAGGTGCTAAGGTTATTGCGACAACTCTTTGCAAAGGATCTGGGCTAGTAGGTGGTCTTTATGCACCAAGTTTAATGATTGGTGCTGCAGCTGGTGCTGTATTTGGAGGCTTTTCTGCCAAAATTATCAATTCAGCAATTCCTGGAAATGCCGCTGTAGCTCAACCCCCTGCATATGCTCTGGTAAGCTGACTTTACTGTAAAATATGTAGGATGTCACTGCTGACGACAATGCTGATTTGGTTGATGAAGATTCAAATAAGTTAATTTAACGGATGCAGGTTGGAATGGCTGCTACATTAGCATCTGTTTGTTCTGTTCCTTTGACTTCAGTTCTTCTTCTGTTTGAGCTGACAAAAGATTATAGGATACTGCTTCCTCTCATGGTAATCCTTCAATAAATTCTCTTACAAAAAGAAGTTTGCACATTTTGTAGCATGTGTAGTTTTCCACTCTTCTGCTAGTTCCTATGACTAACAAAATGAGTCAATTGTATTGTAAATATCTTTCTTTTTCATCTGCTGAATTATAAAATATGACCGGTATTCTCAGACATGATTCTATTGTCTCATTGATGGCTATTCATATATCTTGTATTACACCAGGCAGGGGGAATTCTTTCTCTATGACACCATGGATTTGTTGTGTTTTGATCTGAAGTTGAATGTAAATGGACCATATTTTCTCTTCTAATGATCTCTGTGTTTCTTAAACTTCACATGGTTGGACATGGGTACCATATATCTTTGGTCTTTGAAGTGCTTTAACTTTTAATGCAGTTTTGAATTTATAAATTCATTAAAATACTCCCTCTGTTTCAAAATATCTATTGCTTTAGAAAGTTTGTTTTGTTTGAATTTATCCATTGTTTTAGAAAATCAAGGTAGTAATTTCTTTTTCCCAATTTTATCCTTGTTTGGTATCTCCACTAAATGAAATGAGAGGGAGCATTACTGGAGTGATGATGTTTTGAACAGTTTAGCAGAGGGTAATTTAGTCAAATGCAGCTACATTGATCAAGGCTATTTAATAGATTTTTTTAATTCTTGTGCAATTATCTTAAACAGCAGATATTTTAAAACAGAGGGAATACTTTTGTTTCAACTACTCTGGCATTGAAAAGCATGTAGTATTTTCTAGCAACAAGAACTTGTCGCTTGAACTTTGAACCTCAACCTTCTTGTTTTATTCAGGTTTCCGATCTCCCCTATCTTGTAAATTGTGCATCGTTCTATTGTAGTGAAAATTGCTAATATTTAATATTTTCACATTTTTGTAATTGTGAACCTTGTGCTCAGGGAGCTGTTGGATTGGCAATATGGGTTCCCTCGGTGACAAACCTGGGGAAGGAGAGTGACAATCCTGATACAAGTAACTCAGTAAGAGGATATTCTTCAATTTCTCGTGCTGAAGGTGTTGATGAAGATAACTGGAGACAAGCCAATGATGGGAATGGTTTAGAACTCTGCATTGTTGGAGATGGCGCTGATCTTGAAGCAATTGATAAAGATCTGCTTCTGGAAAACCTTCAGGTTGAGAAAAAATTTTCTATATTACCTTCTGATCGTTGACATCACCTTCTTTTGTTATTAAGACTGAAGCAGCTCATTGATTTCCGATCTTGTTTTTATCTGTTAACTCCGTTAACATGACCATATTATTATTGGTTTTGTCAGGTTTCTCAGGCCATGTCAAAACAGTATCCTCAGATTTCGTCATCTGTAACCCTGAAAGATGCAATAAAATGCATGCATGACAGCCAGCAGAATTGTGTGCTGGTTGTTGATAATGAAGATTTTCTAGAAGGAATATTAACATATGGTGACATTAGAAGGTGTCTGTCCCAAAAGTCTAATGATACTACTAAGAGTGACTCAGAGATTCCGAATGTATGTAGAAAATGCCCCTGCTGTTTATACATTCAAGAGTCGTGTCTGTTTTCAAATTGTTTTAGAAATAGCTGTTTTTTATGACACAAAAAAAAAAAAAAAAAGAAAGAAAGAAAGAAAGAACAACTATTGGCAAAAACTGTTTTCTGAATAATGTTCAACAACAACTGAGCTGAATCAACTGTTTTCAATATTTTGATTCGGTCAGAACAAAGTTGCTAGTATCTTTTTTTTCAGTTAAAATAATGCTTTGATGAATGGATTTTTAACTGGCACCATTGGAAAAATACATTATTGAAATTTATGCTTGTAACTTCATGCTATACTGCTAGGATAGAATTGTCACTAATATACTCTTGAAAATCTTATTTGTACTGTCTTTAATTCTAATTGAATATTCGACAGGCCAACACATGCCTTGTTTCCTCTGTTTGTACTCGAGGGATGAAATATCGTGGACGAGAGCGTGGACTTTTAACCTGTTATCCAAATACTACTTTAGCTATGGCCAAAGAATTGATGGAGGCGAGGGGCATTAAGCAATTACCGGTGGTTAAACGTGGTGGTGGAGATCACAGTAGAGATAGGAAGCGGAGAATTGTTGGTCTTCTTCATTATGACACACTATGGCAATGTCTCAGGTTTTTCTTGGAATCTAATGTTTGTTTATGATACAATATCTGCTTCCCTTACCCAGAACCAAATCTAGGTTTCTCTTTTTAGCTTATAAAATACCTTTGGCTATGCATTTTGGATCCTTACTGTTATCTCAATGACTAATTTCCTCTTCCAACAAACTAAATATTTTTTTATTTAAAGATTTAATTAGTTGAGCAAATGGAAATGCTCCATATTTATGTTTGTCAACAACTTGTTAAGGTTGAAGTTTAATCTTATTTGAAAAATCTGTTTTTCAAATATCTAAATATGAACTTTTTGATTTTTGTACATCTGGAGAACTTAAATTTCTCCCCCATCCCCCTAGTTTGTAATGTAATTGATAGAACTTCCTCTTGTTATTAGAATTAAGCAAATTACAGGATGATCCCGGAGTATAAGTAGCGAAAAGAAAACAATAGCAAGCAATCAACACAAATGATGATCCTATCCTGTGACAGCAGCCACCTTGATTACCCCCAAAAATCCCCCTCCTTATCTCCTCCTTTCAGCCCCTCTAATATCCATTCCCGGGCTAGATTCCCCGTATCTTTCTCCTCTCCCTTTTCTTGACACGTATGCAGTTTGTTAAGGCCTTGCTTAACCGTTTTCATTCCAGCATTTTCTGTTTTGCCCTTCCTCTGATATGTCTTCAGTGGAGGCCCTTTTTGTCCAGGCCCATCAGTAATTCACTCTTTTTAAATCTTCTGCATTTAACCAAGGTTGGATGGTTGGTTGTCTTTTGTATTTCCTTTGGTGGGATAGATAAGAAATAGATCATTTTATGGTTTACAGCCTTTTCTGCCCTTCCACTAATTGTTAAAGTAAATCACAATTTCATATATTTTCCAAGCCATGTGTGCATGTGATTATGTATAGGAACACATTTATTTAAGTCATTTTGTCCCAGCTATTTGGAGGATGAGTAATAAATACTCATTCCGTCACATTTACTTTCTAAGCTTTGATCTCATCACTCACTTTCTGAGGAAAATGTTTAAGAACTACTGTAGCCATGTAATTCTCGTCTCCTTTTATGACCTTAATATATATGTTTATGTGCAGGAAAGAGATTAGTAACCGGCAATCAGACTATCAAAATAAGACAGAAAACAATTTGGCTGTGATAACTACAAATGGGCATTAACTTGGGTCAACATTTTTGGTTGCGATTACCAAAGAAATAGTGAGATTATAGCCACAAGCTCTGCGGTTGCCTTTCAAAATTGAGACCATATGATATAAATTCATGTATATTTTAGTGCCATAAAAGTGGTTATTCGATAAGGAAGAAATTGTTTCCAATCTCCAAAAGCTAAGAATCAACACTTCTAAATCATAACCTGATATTCTTTGCATAAATTAGGACACTGCAGTTTGTAAAGTAACTCTATAAGAAGCAAAAGCCTACGGAATACAATGGAAAATGAAACGGTTTTAAAACCTTGAACTTTGTTCCTTTTGTAAATTGAATTCTTCCCACCCATCGTAGGGGCGAGGATATTGAGTTTTGTTGGAGACAGCAAAAAGGAAAACGTTGTGCTTCGGATTTATTTTTTTTAATTTTTCCGAAAATATTGTTACTCAGTGGTAAATTATTATATTTATATGACACTTGTATAACATTGATAGTTGTCCCTTTCCTCCTATATAATGAACATCTTCTCATGAAACAGTTTTTAACTTCATATGCTTTCAACATGCAAAATAATAATAATAATAATAATAATAATAAATACATTCAACATAAGTGAAGGTCAAATGCTCTTGAGACAAATCTGATCTTAAATAAATAATAAAAAGAAGGTTTAGAGATTGTTTGAAGACACTCCAAACGAATAAGATAATCATTAACTGCAATTTTTAAATAAGATGAACTTTAGTTTCAATTCCAAAGAGACTCCAAACGAAGGTTTCTCAAAGGAAAGAGGAGTCTCAGCAGCATATTTTAACACACGTTAAGGGAGTGTATTAGATTAGGATTTTAAAGGACTTTTTTAGTTGAAAAAAGTTTTGTGAATTTTAAAAGACTTTGCGGGATTTTTATGACTTTTAAGATTTGCACGATTCTGCAAGATTTTGTAAGACTTTTAAGTCAGGATTTTAATAGATTCTTTGGGACTTTGTAAATTTTGCAGAATTTTAGATATAAAGAGTTCAAGATTTTTTTTATACATTCAAATTTAAAAAGAGTTAAAGACAAAAATAATAAAAAATAATAATGTTTGGATAAATAATAATAATAATTCTCCATAGTATCATATCCTTCTAAATAGCATTTATCCACATTTTCATAGCTATAGTAGTCTTTCAAGCATTAGTATCTTCTTTCTCTTACTCTTGGGCAATGTTTGGATAAATAATAATAATAATTCTCCATAATATCATGTCCTTCTAAATAGCATTTATCCACATTTTCATAGCTATACTAGTCTTTCAAGCATTAGTATCTTCTTGCTCTTACTCTTGAGTTTGAATAATAGGCTCAAAATTATGATATTCATTAACTGATAATGTTGAAGATGAAGATTTGTCTATCAGTACAATTGAAAATTCATCAGAACAACATTTATTGTGAAGAAAGTTATGTAAGTGTACATGTTAACACAAATTCTACTTGTGTCTTAAATAAAAATGGAAGTACTGACTTAAAAATTATGAACCTTGATTTAAAAATACAAAATATTCTCTCGATCACATTCTTTAAAGGCGCATGATGAAGATTGAACAATTCTTTTTCATTTTCATGGTTATTACCATAACGTGCAAAGTCTTGTAGATAATATCTTACACTTTGAAATGAAACTAAAAATTGGCGTCGGTTCGGAAATCTACAATTCACCAAGAAATATTTACCTAATTACATATGCAATATATAATAATAATAATAATAATAATAATAATAATAATAATAATATATTATGTTCTTATCCAAGCATCAATATAATCCCAGTAATTATATTCTACTGGGTCAAATGGTTGGGGAAATTTTTTTATAAAAATTTAATTTTTTTTCCAAATTTCTTTGGCGTAAGGACATTAAGGATTTGTATTGTGGAGTGAGTGATAATAGAAGGATCTTTTTTATCTTTATAATGTTTAATAAAAACAGAATTTGAATCTATTAAAATAAATTCATAGAATTGTCTGGTTTTGTTCATGACATAAGGTCTAAATTGAAAACCAGGAGAAAAAACTTTGGTGATGGCTTTGTAAGGGTTTTTATCCCAAAACTCAGGTTCCATTTGTATAACAGAAGAAAATTTTTCTTTTGCCATATAATGGTTAGTGTTTGAGGCTTTTTGTTTGTCTTTTTGGAGGCTAATAATTTTCTTTATTTTATCAGGAAGATAGTCTTTTGAGACTGGCTGGAAGACTGGATTATAGTGTTTAGGCTTGCTAAATCTATTTCCATGTCGTCTTCTTAAGCAATATTTGCCTAAGACTTTTTTGGTAAACTGCTCAAGCTTCCTTGTTGAATAGCTAAAAGAATATTAATAGGAAAAGTATAGTCTGCTTTAGATTGTTTAGCAATTTTGGTTTGAGATTGTGAAGAATCAACCTTGTTGGATGAGTCTTTTTTAGGAATCGCAGATTGTTGAGTAGATGACTCTACAATCTGGATGGCTTTCTGGGTAAATGACCTAGTCGGAATAGATGACTCCGAAGAACAAGAGTCTGCAGAGGTAGACTTTGATTTTGATTTATTAAGAGTCAAGGCTAGCCTAACTCTTCCTCTGGAAGTTCTACCACCCCTGGAGGGGGTTGTTGCCTTTTTGGGCATCTCACTTATCCTGTAAATATTCATGGGTAAGGTAATCAGGAAGGGAATTTGAAGTGCCTTTGAGATATCCTATATCAAAATAAAAAATACTTAAAATTGTTTGTCATCTTGCAAAGATTTGTTTTGAGGCAAGATTTTTAACATCTTTTTGTAAAATTTCTTTAGCAGACTTGCAGTCTACTCTAATAAAAAACTTTTGGTTTAATAAATCAGATTGAAATTTTGAAACACATAAAACAATTGCTAAAACTTCTTTTTTACCAGTTGAATAATTCTGTTGTGCAGAATTCTAATGTTTTGAAGTATATGCAATGATATGTTCATGGGAATCAATTTTTTGTTTGAGAATGCCACCATAACCTATATCAGAAGCATCAGTTTCGATAATTTTGAAAGCTTGAGAAATAAGAAGATAAAGACAATTTATATTTCTGACTCTGTTCTTAATATCTCTAACAACATTGGTATGGACGTCTGTCTAGGAAGGATGATTCTTTTTAAGCCTATCATGTAAAGGCTTTATAATATTGTTAAGATGAGGAATAAAGTCACCTACATAATTGAGACATCCTAAAAACCTCTAAAGTTGGGTTTTATTAAGGGTTCTATCATGATATTAGCAAATTCAATGGATCTGCTAATAGGAATAATAGTTCCATGGTAGATATTGTGACCAAGAAATCTGGTATTAGTTTGAAAGAGATTGATTTTAGATTTGGAAACAGCAAGTCCATTTTGTTTGACAACATTTATAAAAACATTTATATGCTTGAAATACTGATCAATGGAATGGGAAAAGATTAAAACATCATCAATATAGACAATGACAAATTTGGAATAATGATTGAAGATATCGTTCATGATCTTCTGAAATTTAGAAGGAGCATTTTTAAGACCAAAGGGCATTACATTCCCTTCATATTACCCAAAAGGAACGGTAAAAACAGTTTTGTAGATGTCTTCTTCACAAATTTAGATTTGCCAAAATTCAGATTTTATGTCAAATTTAGAAAAAATCTTAGCAAAATTAAGCCTGTTAAGAAGATCTTTTTTGTTGGGAATAAGATACCTAATCCACTGAAGAGCTTGGTTAAGTGATTTATAATTTATGACTAACCTGGAAGTACCTCTTTCTAATTCTACTTGTCTATTAACATAAAAGGCAGAGGAATACCAAGGGCTTTTACTTCTTCTTATGAGTTTTTTGTCTAAGAGATCTTTAATCTCTTTCTGATAGTATTGGAAGAGCTCCTCATTCATCTGAATGGGTCTTGCTTTAGTAGGGATTTGACTTTCTTTAAAGTCTGGCTCATAAGGAAGACTAACAATATGTTTTTTTCTATTCCAAAATGCGTTTGGTAAATCAGAGTAGATAGAAGATTGAATATTATCTAAAAGAGATTGAATCTTCTTCTGAAGTGATGAATTTTTCAAATGTTTATCAATATTAGCAAAAGAAACTTCTTCTTTCAGAAAATTGATTTGATTAATCTTATTTTGGATAAAATTAATATTTTTGGTAAATGGTTTGCTTGAAAATTTAAAGGTTATCTGTTTACCTAAATGATAAGTAGAAATACCTTCTTTTGAAATTTGAAACGGAAAAGGGCTTTAATAAAATGAGTTCCTAGGATAACTTCATTCTTCAAATTTTTAACAAGAAAAAAGTTTGTTTCAACTTTAAAACCTTGGTTTTCAATAATAACTTTAGATAATTTGTAATTAATCTTAAGCTTTGAACCACTCACAGTACTGAGTTTTTCAAAAGTTTTCTCAAAGTATTTAGTAGGAATTAATCCTTCTAAAATATAATTTGAATCAACACCAATATCAAAGAGTGCTAAAGTATCAAGAACAAAATCATCAATAATGATTCTAATGTTAACGTAAAATTTTTGAATCCTGACCTTGTTGATCAGATTCATGAAAATTTCTTCTTGTTCACTAGAATCTTTTTTTCTCAAAATCATTCTTTTGAAAAAAAAATTCTTCTACAACTTCAGAATCATCATCATCATCTTCAAGTTGTGAAAGAATGATTTGATGAATTTGTTGTTGATTTTTAATTTCACAAATCTCTTTCTTGAGATTATTAATCTCAATTTGGAGATCTTGGATAGTAGTTGGTTTGATACTAGAACTGCTTTCTAGTCTTTTGAAAATATTTGTAATATCAAATTTATTAACACTAAATATTTCTTTAGGTTTTTGTTTTATTTCTAAAACATCTTTAAATTTGCTAAGAAATTCTTTTCTTTCTTGTTGATCAGAAATATAATTAATTGCTTCAAAAATAAGATTTTGTTTTTTTGTTAAAACATTGATTTCAGGAGTTTCACCACTATCAGAGGAAGAAACTTGATCATCCTGTTAGATCTTATTAATATCTTCATTGGTATCCTTAGCAGAATCCTCATCAGAAGATTCAATAAGAAGATTATTAATATGATCTTCAACCGAAGGATCAAGATTAAAATTACTAATCTTTTTCTTGAGCCTACAGTATTTAATGATATGACCAGGTTTGCCGCAGTTATAACAAGTTACACCTGTTCTGAGTTTCCTAGGAATATTGTTGGGGATGACATCTTCCCCATGCTTCTTTGTAGGTTTCCTATTATACTTTCTTTTGTAAGGTTTTTTGTGGTTTTCAACAGTCTCTTTCTTATGAGTCTATTTTTTCTTTTTAATGGAGCAAGAAGGGAGATCAAATTGCTCGTAGAAGGATCCTAACTCTTTTTTATTCAAGGCTCTTTCCTTAGCCAATTGTTTATGAAGTTTGTCTTATTGACAAACCTTTATAGCA